ATAAACCTTCTGCTCTGTTCTTCGGCGCAGACCGGCCGATAAATTGAATTGATGTAAACAATACAATAAACGGAATCGCTTTTCCCCTTGTTGACAAAAAGAAGGTTCTGGTACAAAGACATGGCTACCTTTTCCCAGTTCTCGTCGCCTTCCTTCCTCATCTCGGCGCTCCCAAAATTTTGTCCGCGACTAACTGCGTTTAACAACACGTTTCCTCCAAGGAGAGACGCTGCCAATTCCCGTGTGACGTCCTCCGTCTGGAAAACACTCTCCGCTTTGTCCAAGTCTTTAGTAAGCAATGCGTTTTCCTTTCTGATTGCCTCAAGGTTGTCTTCAAAGTTTTTGATGTGCATCTTCTGCTCGAGAATGCTGAACTTTGTGAGGTCTGTTTTATCTTTCATGAGTAAGTTCGAAAGTACGATGCGCCGCCGAAGTCGCAAGGACGTACTTTGGATCGTGAGTAGTTGTTGGATCGTTTTCATTGAGTCGACTGGAGTCGAAGAAGCAGCCAACTGACTCACCAACACGTTCCGAGCCTTGATAACTGTGTTTAGCATTGGGTGGCTTGTGCTGCTCGGTCGCATTGTCTTTTTTATCTCTTCCTTTTTATCTTTTGGTTTTTTCTTTGATAGTCTAATAATAGGCGCAGTACTATTATTGTACTATTTTAATACTAATTCTAACCATCCCAAGAAAGCACCCCTTCAAATTCCACAAAACAAAAATGACTATAAAGTATAGCCACTTTTATTAGATTCCCTTTAAATCCATATGGTTTTTAAAGAATAACTCCGTTGTCTTGAAAAGAACTTGAATATAATATGGCGACAGACCTCTACTCGTTGGTTGTCGTGGCAAATTATATTAAAAACCCCCTCGATGTTTTGAATATGGTATTGGTGTGTAAAAAATTCACAAATTTAAACACAATGATACATTATAGAAAATGCGCTTCATCACTCACATTTTATTCAAAAGTTCAGACAATTGCTGTCACAGGGAATGAGTATATATTTGCTTCGCGTTATCCATTATTACTTGTCGATTTGTTGCTAAACAAACTCACCCAAACTGTGCTTAGCAACACATATCTCATTAGTCGTGTGACTAAGTTAAAAGTCGACAATATATGGCGTACACCCCTTCCTTTGTTTCCAAACCTCAGAAAGCTCTCGTCGTATTCCCCTTTCGACATTTTTTCAACCCAATTTTTTGAAGAAAGCCAACTGTTATCCTTAGTGCATGTACGACCACATTCAGAGACATTGCGACAAATTTCTGATATTCGGTGTATAGTTGACTGTACAATTGTTGTGGACTTTCAAAAATTCGAGAAACCCCTTTTGCAAAAACTTTACTCCAAGCGTGTTACTCTTTTTGACGTTACACACTTTTTTGAGAAGGGAGAACATTGTTCACCGTTTTTTCAAGCAGAAATTTCTGGGCTAGTCAAAACAGAGTCTGAAAGAAAACCCATTTTTGACGCTTTGGAATTGTCAAATGGCGCCAATTGCGATTTGACGTTCAACACCAAATCCGTCTTTGATTTGCATTTCGATACATTTCATGTTCAAATACTAAAAATCGCCAATTTGTCCAATACAAATCCAAAAATTTACTTACCACAATCCCTTATTAAGTTGTGTATTAAAAATCGATTCAAAATCCAAAATGGTTCGCCAACACTTGAATCGATTATTTTTCAAGTGAACAAACCATTGACCAACATCGGAAAGTTCACCACCCTCAAGAGTTTCACAATCACAAGGTCGCTTTTTGAAGTTTCGCAATGTAAAAGCCAACATGTCGACAATAAATTTCCACATCTTTCCCATTACAAGCTTTTTAAAATCACTTCTGCAATTATATTCCCAACTTTTGTCGACACCTTGGAGATCAGTGACTCATTTATTTCAACTCCTAATGCGGTTTTGGACCTCTCAAAAATAGCTGTAAATATCCTTTCAATCCGCCGTTGCAATCTGACCTCCCTCATTTCACCTCAAAAACTCACCTCTCTTTTTTTATCAGATTGTCGTTCGCTCGCTTTTGTTTCATGTTTGCAATCTTCAGATTGCCTTTCTGTAACGTTGCAACATTTATTGGTTTTTAAAAAATTAGAAATCAAACATGGATGTCTGTTGAATATAACATATTGCAACACCCCAAGCATGGATGTTGTATCTTTTAAATAGTTAAGTCAAGAGCTTATTGTTCGTTTTGACAAATTCTATATAACGTAATCAAAAATCAATTCAATGCGTCAAGAACAGCTCGAGCAGCTCCTTCCGTCAGTCCCTTCCACTCGGCAACGTAATCCAAGTTGTCAAAACAAAAAGTGAGTTCTTCATTTGAAATCTCACCAGCAAACATCTCCAAGAGTGTCATCACCTTCGATATGGGGTCTGGGTTTATTTCATCCTTCAAAATCTTGTTATACACCCATCTTCCAACCTGTGCGTTGTACGAACACTGTACAATCCCTTGTCCACTCCACCCAAGTCGGCGTTTGTCTGAGTTGAATACCTCACGATCGCTCTGGCTGAAGTTTGTTTGTTGCAAATTCACAAATTCGTTTTTGCCGTACCCTTTGCAGAAAAAGGTTTCGATTTCTCTGCCGTACGTCCTTTCAATTCTTATACCAAGTTTAACCATCACAATTCGATTATACACCCACTTGAACATTTTTTTGTTCTCGAATGGTTCGTACGGTAAATTTGGAACAAAGATAACGCCGTTTGAGAAATTGGCATTGTACTTGTCTTGGTATAAAAAGGTGCCATGGATGGGGCCATTATTTAGGCAATTCATTACCATACTAAACTGGTTCATACCATAGGCTGAACGAATGCGGAGAACGAAAGGAAATTTACTTTCACCCGTTGCTATTCCACGAATCAAGGATATGTACTGATTATAATATTTGCAAAGTTCGCTGTACCGAGTTTTAAATGGCTCTTTCCAGATCTTATTATTTCGGATGAGTATCATGTCGTACATCATAAAGTTGAGTTGTTGTGTAGCGAAGTTTCTTGTCATGATCCCTTCCAAAATTGCGTTTGCTCCAAACACCTTTTCAATCAAAGAAGATAAAGTTGTGTCATTAATGGTGAAAACTTTCATGTTTTCGTCAATAAAATAGCACCTTCCATCACTGTAACAACACAAGAAAAACCGAACCCCCATTGTCTTTTCAAAAAGCGCGTATGTATTCTTATCTCTCAGATTAAGTTTGTCTTCCTCAGTCAACTCTCCTTTTTCCTGTTTGAGTGCCTCGCGCTTCTCCAACTCGACTTTTGTCACAAGGTTATGGATGACGCTGTAAGCGTTGCGTGTAAAAAACAATGGATTCGTTCCTGGGAATAGAGAATCTTTAGTCTCAAACACACTAAATACCATATCGAGGATTTCTGATGTGAGCGTGTCAGGTACCTCATCTATTTGTGCGTCGTCCATATAATTCAAATCCATCAACTGGAACCGTTTAAGTCTTCCTTGAATATAATCAACACTTTGTTTTACGTTTTTCTTGTCACGCACAATAAAATGAAGTTGACAAGTGAAGTATGTCTTCACACAATCCCCTCTCTCGTCCAATTCATGTTCTCTCACCTCGTCTGCGTATAAATCAAATAATCCATTTTGTCCCAATTGGATTTCTCTCCGTTTAATCACAAAATGGGTTTTCGTGTCTGGCTCGAAGCTATCTTCCAAATTGTTACAGATGGAAACTCTAAGGTCATAAGTCTTTCCTGTCTTGAAAATTGCGTAGTCCTCAACTGAATATGATTGGACTTGTTTACCGTTTTGTTTGATAATGAATTGGTCGCGACTCATATTCGTCACTTTTTCTAATTCAAAAGTTGTATGTTTGCTCATCATATGATTAAATTCGGTTTTACCCAAATATGAATAAAACTCTTCCATAGGGTTCCCTTCAGCGCTCTGACTCATTCCTTTCTGTTATTTATTTGTCACAAATTGATGCCAACAAACGAGTTGTCCCAAATTCAATATCTACAAATGAAGCACCATTCCCCAACGCTTCCGAAATGTAACTCTCCTGGTCTTCACTGGCAAACTGTCCGACTTGCTCGTTTCTTTTCTTTTCTTCAAGTAGCTCGGCAAACCCATCGAAGTCTGCTGCCATTCTCATTTTAAAGTTCATATAATTATAAAATGTTATACATAACATTTAAAAAACATTTCCCGAGTTCTTTAAATTGTCGTTTTAATTCATTCAAATTAATAAATAAACTACAAATTACCATTATTTTGTTATATGATATAGTACATGTTTACGATTGTTTTTAAAACGATAATTATAAGCTATAAAAGCTAAAAGTGAAACAACAGAAAATTGAAACCACTTCTTGATATCCATTCAAAGCACTTACTAACCAAACTAATAAATACCATATTTAATAATATTTATTATTAGAAAAAATAATACCAAAATACAAAGAAAAATGTAGCAACATAAAAACCATTTAATTCTATAAACTTGATGATGCCAGTTCGCTTATTTGTGTTCTTCATTTCTTTGTCTTTTGGGTGTGTCCTTCATAATATAACACTCTCCGCGGGTTTGAACAGCATTCCCCTCAATCTTAAAGTAACAGAGAAAATCCAAATATTCCACGAAGACTACACAACATCATACCTTCAAGTCTTTATCGCACAACAAGAAGTGGTAGTGGAGTCCACAAGGAGTTTGGATATTTCATATTGTGTTATTGATAACAATGAAAACTACAAATGCCCAGAGTGTCCTTATGATTGCTCTCTAGAATATGGAGAATGCACTAAACTCACGCCGAAGGGTGTTGGGACATTCACATTTGACACATTTTTGGACTTATTGATGCCAACGAAGAGTGTTGTCATCTTTTGTGTGTTTGGAGCGATAGTAGTCGTTTCGATCTGTATGATCTGCACGATGACTTGTAGATTTGTCGATTGTTTCACAGACATTATGTGCAACAAGGCGAAGCAAGAGAAGAAGAAGTTTGAAAAACAAATGCTTGAAAACATGAAGGAGAAAGACAAGCACCGAACCATCGAACTTACTTTAAATTGATCGTTGTTTATTTCATAGTATTATATATACTATATTTCTAGTAATAGTAACTAATATAATAATCACTGCAATATAAATGCATACAATGGGAAGAAGTTAGTCGGGTAATTCAAATCTTTTCGCGTTTGGAGTAGCCCAAGACCAGCTTTAACAAACAAGTGATTCATATGTGTTATAGTTCTCATCAATGAATTATCTTTTCTGTCCCAATAGAACTCTGTCGTTCCTATATTCTCTTTAACTACTATTATCCCTCCTTCTTTTAAATGTGCTTTACACACCTGTAACATGTTAACTAAGTCTTCATCACGAAGATATAATATCGACCATTGTATCCATATACAATCATATTGTTTCGTTAATACTAGGTGTTGCATATTACACACAAACGCGTCGTTAAACGAAGGAACTACACCTTTCATTTCCTTCGCTTTGTTTACGTGACTGACACATTGATCTGCTACATCTATTCGTTTAAAGTACCGCGATAATACATCTTTGGTAACACGACCAACTCCTCCTCCTAAGTCCAAGCAGTCGTCTATACCACAATTGAGTTTGATTAAAGCACCACGAAGAAAAACGTGGCTATTACTCTCATCTATTGGAATCAATTTCACATATCCATCGACCATCCCACTGTTACTGCTTTCCATATTGTCCCACACCGCCTTGTCCAATGCATACCACGACACCGGGTCGACAAGTTGATACACTTGATTAATGTCGTTGTAATGATTATTCAAACTGTCTACACCACTAAACTCCATCCAACACTGTTCTTGTAGGGTTTCTTCTTTTTGTAATATAAATAAAACACAAATTGCAAGTGTTCTATTTATAAAAATCAGTGTGAATTCTTTCTTTTCATTGTTTTGGTAATTATTACTAATCTCATATTTTTATAGTAAATTTACTATTGGTTAGTTAAATTACTTTTTAAATAAAAATAAGTTGTTAAATTACGATTTTTCATTTGTAATAAAATATAATATAATATATAATATAATGAATAATACTTTCAATTTCATAGAAAAATTCCCAATTAACTTATAAATGTGAATGAATATCATTTTGTTGATAGTTGGTTTGATTATTTCAGTAGTTATAATAGCGCTAATTACTTATATCATCTACAATCTTTACATCATTTACAAAGTCGAAAAAAAAGAAGAGAAAGAGAATGCAAGTGATGAAAGTGACTCTATCAGTTCCAGTGACGATGAAGACAATGATTATGTTGAAGATCATCACCTTTTAGGTGGGTCTTTTGAGTGAGTTAATGTCAAAAGGCATGTAATTTATTTTTACTCAAAATCTTATTCATATTTCTTCTCACATAACATTAAACTGCCTAAGATATTGATTATTTCAAGTCAACCATAAAAGTGAATTAAAAAAAATTAGAAGGTGAACACAAAACCGTTTTCTGCGAGCTTTTTAATAATTTTTGGGTCGACGTCGTCCTTTGATTTTGACAAACTTCTGACGATATTAGTCAAGTACTTTTTAACGATGAAAATGAGTGACAATTTCTCTGGGATGTTTTTGTTATACAATGTGAGTATTTTATCGACGCATTCGATCTTTACTGCGTTTTGTTTGACTTCTTTGTTGCACACTCTTTTCTCGACGGAAGATAAGACAAAGTTCGTCATTGAAATGTTCCACGAAGAAAAGCATGAGAGTGGTGCTGTAGTGAATGCTGTAGTGAAGATCGTGTTCGTTGATTTGATTAAGCCAAACGCAAATAAACAAACATCTTGTGTTGCACTGACGACACTCTCACCCCCCATTTCTCGTGAAACTCTTTCTTTGGTCACTTCACTCCGAGCGTCCAAGAAGATTCGCATTGCTTTCTCTTCGTTTGTTACTTTCTTTAAGTGATTAATGATAACAACCGTTTGTCGTGTTGAGAGTGAAAGGTCAAAGAGTCTCTTCTGTAACTTCTCGACAATGTGGTCGATCATTTCTTCAAATTGAATTAATGCGATGTGCCCTTTCAATACGTTTTTAAGACACGTATTGTCCGCCAAGAGTTTTTTCACTTGGTCGTGAATTTTGATACACTCGTCGAAGTTCCATTGCGAAAGGTAGACTTGGAGAAGTGCGGGAGCGTCGAGTATCGTTTCGATGTCTTTCCGCAATTGTGGCACGCGACTGCTGATATCGTTTTTATCCGACGACTCTCCCGCTGTGATATTCAAGAAGGCGGATCGTTCCTTCACCAACTTGTCGAGCTTCTGTTGTTGTTCTTTCATCTCTGTAGCGTAGTGTTGGTTCAACTCATCCAACTCCGTTCCAATCGCGTTAAATTGTGTATGAATCGTCATGAAGTCTTGTTCAATTTCTTCGAGTCTTCTCGTGATAGCCAAGAACTCTCGGTAATTGTCATACACAGCTTGACGGAGTTGTTCACTCTTATCAGCCAAGTATCCTTTTATTTGTGGACATGTAATGTTCTGGACTTGATCATTAAAGCATTTACTATATACCTCATCAACATACGCCTTTTCTCCATTTTGGAGGACCTTCAAAAGTTCATCAGAATTCGCCATCTACAGTTTTTCAGTTCCTTGTTCACATGGTCTTCATCTTTCAAAAACATTTCTTGTCACTAAATAACAAAGTTGATTTATTAACTCTTTTACTAGCATTTTATTATTACATATCTTAGGTAAAGTACCTTTTATTAAGAGGCAAAAGATGTCTTAAAAATAGAAGAGAAAAACAAAGGAAAGACCAGATCAACCCTAAAGCGTCAAAACGGAAAAACACAAATTACAGATTCGATGTCACTCAACATTATTGACGCGTTCAAAGCAACACTTTCCGCTGATAAATCGGTGCGGGACCAAGGCGATGCCGTTTTGTCGGCGTTAGTGAAAACCCCACAATACCTCCCACAAGTCCTTCAGCTTTCTTTGGTTCAATCCGGACAACCATCTGATCTCAGAAAAGCAGCGTTGTTGTGTTTTGGTCGTACAATCAATCAAATAGAAGATATCAAAGTGTGTGGACAAGACGTTTTAGTTCAGTTGATGACACTTTTATTAAACATTTCGAAGACGGAGACCGACTTTGCAGTGAAAGGGTCAGTGTCTGCTGCTCTTTCCAATTACGCACAAGTCCTTGAAGAATGTGATGTGCCATGGACGACATACTTTTCTTCCATGTTAGAATTACTCCAGATGCCCAACCTCATTCAGCAAATGATTGCACTCGAATCTTTAAGTGCTTCAGTCACTTTTAAAGGCGCAGAGGTATTGACGGATTTAGAGCCACAAATTGTGAACTATTTAAAGACTGTGATGATCTCCCCGAACATCGAAATGCGAATGAGTGCCATCCAGTTCTTGTCAAAGGTAGTCATGTTTTTCGAGATCACCCCACAACAAGGCGCGATGTGCAAGGCCCTTTATTCTGCAGTTAAAGACACACTTCTTGCCCTAATCGAAGCAAAAAATTTCAACAAATTTGAAGATTACGCGTGTTACACCGTCGAGTTGATTGACGCATCTGAGTATATTTTTGTTGGTGACGAGATCAACTTGTCGTCATTGATGTACCAATTTGCGTTAAATTGTGATATCAAAGATTCTCAACAACGTGCCTTTGATATCATTGTATCTTTCATTGAGAAGAATCCACGTCTGTTTAAGAAGAATCCAGCCGTGTTGAATCAGATTATGGTAAAAATGTTAGAATTAATGAGTCTGATTGACAACGACTCTGCTCAAATGTTATTAGAAGACGAAGAGCCTGAAGAAACAGAGAATTGGTCATACGCAGAGGAAGCTCTTCTCCGTATAGTAGAGGCTGTTGGTGGTAGTCCAATTAAAGAAGTATTATTTGGGATTACTCTTCAGTACTTGAACTCGACCGAATGGAACAAACGGTATTCTGCATTAGTAGCGTTGTCTTTATGTGTAGCTCCCGGTAAATATATCTTCAAGAATACATTAAGTGACTTAATGAAAATCATCATTGTCTTCATTGAGGATAAGAACGCTTTAGTACTCTACGCACTTCTTGACTTGTTGGAAGAACTCATCTCCGTCTTCCCAAAGATGTGCAGAAGACGACACTTTGACGAATTGATGAAAGTTGCGTTGGCCTCGTTATACACTTCATCAGCTCGTTTACAAGAGAAGGCGTGTTATGTGATGAATCAGCTGTTTGAAGAAGACTCGACTGTGTCTCAGAAATTACTTCCATATTTGCCACAATTGATGGAGGGAATATTCAAGGCATTACAAACAGGCGATTTGAACTCATGCACCGGGTCACTCTCAATGATTGTATTCACTGCTCGTATTCTTCCAAAAGCAATAGAAGCGTACTATCCACAATTAAAGACTGTTCTTGACGTCTTGATGCCACGGTGTAACACTCCAGAGACTAAAGAACACTTGGCCAAGATGATTGAGATCAAAAGCGTCTTTACTTTAATCAACAACAGCTACTTCCCAGAGTCTCGTGATTTGGTATTAAAGACTTTTGGCGAGTTGTGTAACTCACCGGAAATCTTTTCGCCGATGATGGTGTACATCTTGAGTGCTATCGACAGATTTTGTGAAGCTCGAGACCAATTGTTCATGCAATACTTAGGGCCTGTTATTACTCTCATGTTAAAGCGTTTATTATTGAAAGAAGGTGGAGAAGTTGTTGATATCGTCGAAGCTGAAATCTCATCGACCACGACGTTGACTGAAGAGAAGCAATTTATGATGGGAAGTTTATTCAAAATCGCGAATTCTGTGAAAGAGAACTTTGGCCCTTATGTCCAAGACACGTTGAATGTTGTTCTTCCCATGGTGAATGGTGTTGCGACGCAACTGAGAGATATAGCTGCGCATATCATACCAACTATCTTAGAAGACGCCATTTTAATGATCAAGGCAAAGGGAGTATCGGATCCACAACAGATTTTGGGACAAATATCTGGGCTTTATTATGGGATAGTTGACCATTTGTGTGGATGCCTGAAAACAGAGAAGTTCTCTGATAACATCAGGTCGTTCTTAGTCTGTTTGAAGATGATTATTTGCCTTGTTGGAACCGATTCATTGCAACCGGAACGGATTGGAAATGTCTTTGAATCAATGGATTGCTCTCTTAAAAACATTTTGGAGTCTCCAGAAGAAGAAGATATTGAATACGGCAAGGCGGAAGACCAAGAAAACTTGGACGATGAAGAATTTGAAAAGATCCAAGACAACAATGAAATGGAAGACGACTGGCTTTCATTGATTCTTGACATCACATCGAACATCTGTAGACTGCACCCAACTCGGTTCTTTGACCCCTTCAAATTCAAATTGTTCCCACGAGTCATGACATACTTAAATCAAACAAAAGAGACTGAAAAACTTTCATTTGCTATTGCTATTATTGGCAGTGTTATTATTGATGGAAAAATCTACGACTTTGTCCCACAAATTGCCGAGCAGTTCATCACTTTTGGGGTCAACAAAGACATTGATGTTGCACAAAACGCTATCTTCTTTTTGGGACAGTTTGCACATGCACAGATCCCACAATTTGTCCCATATATTCCAAAGGTCTTGCAATTTGTCGGGTCGATGCTTCAAAGAAAGAAGTCGCGAGTGTTGGCAGAGTTGACAGATCAAGTCATTATGTGTGTCATGCATATCGTTGCTAATTATTACCAAAGCATTCCAAACTATGCGGTGATTCTCCAACAAGTCATTACACTGTTCCCAGCCAAAGGGTCTTTCGATGAGATCACAACACTCTTGGTCGATTTGCATGCCAAAAACTTGTTGTCTGTTATGGTTGGTGGAACTGCAGAGAATGTGTATAAACTTGTTCTCTACTTTGCAAGAGCACTTGAGAACGAAGGAACAGAAGATGACACTAAAAAGCGAATAGCGCAGTTGATCCAGGCAATGTCTTCATTTGTGCAGAATGATGTCATTAACCAAGTCTGGGCTAAACTCACACTTGAACAAAGAGGTGACTTGGACTCTCTTTTCCATTAATTTTACTTCCTTTTTACTTCTTTTTTTCACATCCTTTCAATTGAAAATTCTTCCTTCGTTGGACTTTTTTTATTGAGACTGCTTCGTTGAACCACTTCTCAAAAGAGGTGTTTAGTTTGTGGGGATTATTTGTTTGGGATACTCTCCCGTTTTTTACATGATATTGACGGTGTGAAGAAATGAACTAAAAATAAATGTTCGAGCCGGACTTGAATGAAATTTCAACAACAACTTATTTATCAAGATTTTATAGTTAATTTATTAATAATATATAGTACATTGATTCGTTGGTCAAAATTATTGATGCATTGATACCGACAAGCTTTTTCCATTGAGTATTTAACGAAAAAATCGATGAAAATATTATGTTCTATTGATCCAAAATAGCGGGAATACGTTCACATGAAGATAGCTGCATTTCTTTGCCTCTATGAATAGAATGGAGTTTAAAAGAAAATTCGAACTTGAATGCCATACGATGAAGTTGCTACAAGTCTTTAAACAATCTTCTGAAGAGAAGTTGGTGAACAGTATATTGTCCTTTAAATCTCGGTATCAGCCTGAAGAGACTTTTAAAGACCTTTTTCTTCTGTCCCATATCTCTGAACAAAAGTCCGACCAAATTATTTCAGTTATCGTCAAAAAGTTGAATGAAAAAGACGAAAAGAAGTTTTCAAATTTGATGGTTCTCATATACAGATATTCTGATCAAGATGCTACGTGCCAATTGTTACGTACTTTAATTTCGTTGAATATCAAGGACGTATTCCTCTCTAAAATTCCACTCTCCAAAAATTTGAAGACCCAAAAAATCATGACGACGTTTGCTCGGCATTTAGATAACAAATTATATTTACTTTCACAACACAACAGAATTATACACGCAAACGTCGTTGTTACAGACTTAATCAATGAAGACGAAATTTCGACCGCATTAGAGCTCGTCGAGTTCTTACTCAAAACACAGAAGAATATCACACAACTCGATTTCAACAACGAAGAGTACTACAAAAACAACTTCCCTTTGGTGGACATCTTATTACTTGAGCTCACGATATTGTATGTGCAGACTAATATGTGGTTCGTCATGTTGGTTAACGCAATAGACCGAATGACTGAGACTCAAATCAGAAGATTTACCACGGAGTTACACGATTTAGATGTTCAAAAGCACAGTTATATCACTGTGATTAACTTAAAGAACGTCCGTGAATATTTTGAAGTTGGGTGTGTAGTGATACCATCCCTCTCGTATTTGCCTTCGGGCCCTCTTCAAAAGTTTTTGCAGAAGTATGCAGACAATCTAAAAAATGGGAAGAATAGCGACAAGGTGATGGAGCAAATCATCTCTTTCAATACCACCTTCAAGGCTGACATCGAACAAAATGTTGCAACACTTCACCCTTTTGTTATTAGAAATTGGGTCTCTGTCAATTTGGCCGACTCGACAGATACAAGTAACTCCATCAGTCGAAGTGCTTCGACTCAAATTATTGGGCCTTTCGATAAAACAGTGATGTTCGCACTTCCAAGGTCATCACAAGCAAGTCCACGAGATAAGGAACTTATTGATAGAATGAAACCAACAATGTCTTTCGACACTTCTTCTCTTTGTATGCCAACTTCTACTGATCATTCGTCTCCTTTGAAAAGTCCAACCACACACAAGTTATCTTCTTCTTATGTCCACTCTCCTGAAATCGAAGGACAAAATCCTCAAAAGGTTGTCTTAGAACGCCCAGTACCACGCGCACACCCAATCGAGTTTAAAAGAGACGACACACAGACAGATATTACAAAAAGAAATAACGAATTTGACGACGACAAGAATGTCTTTTTGATTTGATGTTTTTATTTCTATTTATATTTTTTGAAATTTGTTTCTTTATAGTTAAATTATAGTTTACTTGGTAAACTATATACCTATTATAACAAAACTATAATTTTAATACCTTTATACTTATAGTAAATCTGTATTATAACTCTAACACAATAATAATTAGTTTCAGAATAATTAAAATTAAATAAAAGAAACTATTAAATATATTACATAAAGACAGTGAGGTGCGACTGCATCAGTGCAATATGTTGAAATGCAACTTCGTCATCACCAAACTTTTGGAGAACGCTGATGTTATTATTGAGCTGATCTCTGAGATGTTTAATGGACATCGAAACAACAACTTTCATGTTTTCCATATCTTCATCTTCAGAGACAACTTTTTCCGTCTTAAGTCTGTAATACCCTCTGTTTCTGAAGAGGTCCTTACCTGATTCTATATAAGTGCAATGATTGAAAGCATCAAGCAGTGCCTTCTTCCAGTTCTGTTTCTGTACTGCATGTCATTCGATGCTGGGGAACACTCTGGTGAATTATAACAAAAAATAGACAAACAAATTGGCAATCGATAAAGGATGTCCCAATGATCTTCCACAAAGACGTAGATATCATTCTTTAAATTGAAGTAGTCAGGAATTGGACTAATTTCCTTGAGTGCTTGAAGGATCAGGACGCATAGGCGTGTGTTCTTGATCTTTGGCGATGGAACATTGAAATAGCCCGATTTCCTGCAGATGCAACATCCACAAAGGCTCTTTCTTGAGACGGGGTGTTGACTTGTTTGCATTATGTGTTGTATGTTTTTCCCAGTCTGCCTTTTATATATAGGGCACATTTATTATTCGTGAAAATCGTATTAATAGAGCAATTCTGTTGTAATTTTATTATGCGGTGAAATATAGCTAATATTCGGGATTATTTACAGATCAAATATTATAATATATTATACTTTTATTATATTAATTTTTAAAGAATTTTTGGAGAAAGGTCGAATGTTCTCTAAAAATTGGCCAATAAAAAAGAATTTATTATTTAGTGTTGAGTAGTCAAAAAATGGCTAAATAATTGGGTAATATTTTTTTATTCGAGTAAATTGTAATTTTAGAACACAATAAAACTTAAAAAAATTTGGTATTGAATGGGGACCTACATTGACCACCACCACCTTTACCAAAAAAAAATATTTGCCGCGAGTGTTTTTTGAAAAAAGTCCATTTTTCAGCCACTGTTTGTGCGTCCCCATGTCACCCACTTTCCTTGTCCGTACTGTGTGGACGCGGATGTGGTTCCCCGCAAGCGGGGGGGTCAGGGGGGATCCGCGCCAAGGGAGGACTTGGAAAGTGGGTGAAACGGTGCACAAACAGACTGTTTGAGTGCGTCTTCAGAACCTTCTTTTCAATGCTCCGTCTTTCTCGGTTTCCACTAACTCGAGGTGAATTTTCGGCATTTCTTGAATTCGGGAACCAGACCTAATATCTTCCCATTTTCCTATTTACTATAATTTTAATTTGAATATGATTCGAAATAGAAAAAATAAATCTATTTTAAGAGGTGGTGGTGGTGGTCATTAGGTCCCGTATTGAATGAGATAATAAATATAACTAAAATATTATAATAAACAATCATAAAATTTATAATTTATTATTTTAATTGGTATTTTGTTTTTAATTATTATAAATTATAATTTAATATTTCATATTTATATATTTTAATTAATTTATAATTTAGTAAAAATAATTGATTTTAAGATTTTTTATAGTTCGTTGTTAAAAAATGTTTTTGATAATAATTAAAAAATAACTGTCTCAAAAATTAAGAATAAAAAATAGAACTTTTTATAGTTATAATATTAATATACAATAAGGACTTAAAAAAAATTAAAAACCATATTTAAATTTGAAACTATACTTTTTATTGTTTTTATTTGACTTTTTAATAAAATAATGTTTGAAAAAATAGTAAAAGTTTTATTATTTTTATTATACTATTATAATTTGTATTTTAAAGCATTTCAAAAACAATTGTTCCTTGTGTTAATTATTTGAATCTTTTTTGTTGCTTAATTTAACGATTTGTAATGATTACTTTTTCTTTAAATAATACTTGAAACATTTTTTAGTTCAATAAGTTTGTTATTATAATAAAAACCATTTATCTTTGTTAAGAAAATAATACGTGCAACTAAAAATATAATTCGACGCATATTATTTGGTTTTTCGTTTATTATAATCAATATTTAAACTATACTTATAGTATTTATTTATTTTTACATTTTTTTTATTTTTTAAATCATTTTTTTGGACATTGGATTATTCCTTTAACAATTAAAATTAAACCAATAATAAAATATATAATAATAATTAACATTTGTTTTTGCATTCCCACAACTATTTTAAAAATACAATAGCTAATCAGATACATCATCACTCCCGTTTCATAAGTCACTTTTTCCCAGATATAATCAACACTAACAAAACCCCAAAAATAGTAAAATGAACAAAGAGAAAGAACCCATTACTGTATAGTTCTTTATTATTACAAATAACCATATCTTATAATTCATTATTAAATCAACATACTGGCTCAAATTTTGTGACTATAAAACAGGGAACAAATAAATCACTTCATGTCGATTCAGAAGAAACAAGTGACTCTATACATTACAAGTCAATCACCAACTTCCGTCTCGCAGTTCTATGATTCGTTTGAATTTGTTGGCACTGGCGAATCAAAGACATCCATCAACCCCATTGAGTTTAGGGCCCAGGTAGTTCTCCATTGTGTCGAGGGTATCTCCCGGTTCTATAAAATAGTATCGAAGTATACAACCATCCAATATGACATGTCTCCACTCCTCAAAATCCTGAACGACCAATTTGCTTTGGAAACACTATATACGTCATCTGAGCTGAAGACAGACCCGCTGTGGTCGAACATATTAAAGTTAATGAAAAACTTCTGGTATGACCAAAGAGTTCAACGGTACAACACGCCACCTTATCACTTCGATTTACACCAACTGACTATTTTAATGCCACAACTCTCGAAATATCTCTCCATAGAATATGCACCAACACAAAAAGACGTATTTAACGCCCCACTCTTATCTATCACAAGAACAACTCAATTCGAAATGGAAAACACGGAAATCTACCTCTCGACTTGGAACCCTGTACTCTCTAACCAGCCGGAATTGACAATCACGCAGCCGTCGATTATCATAGTGCCAGTATGCTTGGATTGGTACTGCTTTGTGGATGAGGACAACGAAAACTATTTGAGGAAGATGGTGACTTACTTCGACGGATTTACAACACATCCCCTTCCATGTGAAGGGGTATACTTTGTCCTCTACAAAACTAATTTCGACACTCTCCTGAAAACCCACCCACTTGCACAGTACTTCCCAGAGTTCGACGCGACCCAAATCAGTGAAGTTGACTTCATCAAAGACCTATTCAAAGAAAGCAAACCATTCACTACAGGTGAAATCTGTGTGATTGTTCTTTCTGTATTTGACGAAGTACAAATACTCAAAGTGCCACGATCGCTCTTTCCTGTTGCGTTGAGTAAGAGTGGAATTAATGAGAACATTACGAAGGGCGGAAATTATGAAGTCTTTTCTTACCATTTTAAAGAGAGTCAAAAGGTGAAGTGGGTAGGTGGTGTCGCGTCGTTCCAAGGGAAGCGTCCGTCCAACGAAGATGCCGAGTTGATGACTGAAAAGGTGAAATTGGAGAACATCAAAAAAGCGTTTGGGATTTATTTAATATGTGATGGTCATGGTGGTGATTTATGTTCCAAAGCCGCTGTGAAGGTCATCTCGAAGAACATATCATCATCGATATATATGGAGAAACGCATGTTTGCGGGGATGATGAAAGAAGTGTTTGAAGAGAGTGATAGAGAGTTGTGTGGGTTAGATATCATGGGCAGTGGATGTACTGCGGGTGTTGTTGTGATCTTTGGGAGGTTTTTAATATGTGGGAATGTTGGGGATACTGAAATACTTGTTATATCAGAAGGTAAAGAATACGAAGTACTTTCTAAGAATCATAAAGCGAAAGACCCCGATGAAAGAAAAAGAATAACGGAATTGGGAGTGCCAGTGTTTGGTGGGAGAGTCTATGGATCGTTGGCCGTGTCAAGGTCACTGGGAGATAAACAATATAAAGGAAAGGGTGCAGTGATTTCAACACCGTTTGTCACTGTGTATGAACTCACGAAGAAAAATAAGGCGTTTGTCATCTGCTGCGATGGAGTCTTTGAAACACTCAAGTACGAAGATGTAACACAACATGTGTTTGAAGGGATGGGCGGAAATAAAACACCACAAAATATTGCAGAAGATATTGGAACGGACGCGCTCGCAAAGGGATCAAATGATAATGTAAGTGTTGTCGTTACACTCCTTAAATGGAAATAAGATTGTACAACTATTTTTAATCATGTTTATTATATTATTGGATGTTTACTTTTTGTCGGTTTTAGTCAACGTCTTTTCTATAATGTTCCTTTTTCTATTGTACTATCAAATTTAGTTTACAATATAATAAAAAATTAATTATAATATTCTTTATTTTTGGATAATAAAAATAATTTTTTTATCAATTTCAACTATAATAATATAATAAAATGTCACTAGTTACTTATACTAAAAACATAGATTATAAAAAATACGCTTTTAATCGTCGGAAGGAGGAAATGGAAGAATAAAAAAAATTATAGGGTTTGAATTTACATCCACTTTTTTAATTATGAAAAAAAATGTTTGATTAGTTTAATCAAACATTGAGACTTCAATAAAGAACACGTCTTTGGACACTCAGAAGGGAAATTTAAAAATGATATGTCCAAACAATGAAGCTGATTGTTTGGACATGTTTGGTAATGAAACGAATACCAAATTCAAACACATTGTTTGCTCTCATAAAGCATTTGATGTTTGTGCTGTTATGACCATTTCCACGCAATATGTACGAAATGAAAAAAAAAAATAAGTATGGTTTTGATTATTTTGTTTTTTTAGTTTAAAAAGAAATAATAAATTGTATTTCCCAGTTGGTCCCAACTGGAGGCGTGGTTAGGATTTTTTATTTTAAAACCGATTTGTGGCCATTTGTCTCTTTGATTTCTTTTAAACATTTAAATTAAATTGAAAAACAAAATTAATGTCTAGAACAAAATAATTTGACTGGAATCAGAGTGTCTAAAAAAATTAATTTTCCCAAATTATCGTTTTGTTTTTTATATTACAATTTAAAATATCTATAAAAACGGGAGTATTAGTTTAAACACTTAACTTGGGACTTATCTTAATTTTTTTGGACATTCCAGTGGAATATAATTTTTTCAATTACAAACTTTGTAGTTGAAAAAAAAACAATTAAAAATAGAATTTGTTTTGCTTTAGAAAAAGGAAGAATTGAAAATAGATAAAGAAAAGGCATTTTGTATATTATATCACCATAATACGAATCAATCAAATTTTATTTTTGATATTAATTGTTGTTTATTAATACTTTTTATTATTTACCAAAACAATGAAAACGCCGACAACCCTTCAAACAAAGAATCTTTCAACATTTTAAATTGGTAAATAAGTATTCAATAAAAAAAATCAAAACATATCAGAGAAACACAAATAACAATGTCCAACTCCACTTGGGTCATTGTACGGGCTTCTGTCGAGACTGTTTGTTTTTCTCAATATGTTAAGTTGCATTTTTCTCAGTAAAAGGTTGGTAAATTGGTGTTGGTTGGGTTTTGTGGGTATATCAGTGCTAAAAGAGGGTTTCTCAACAAACAATCCCTTGCCGCGTTGTCGCGCGTCACTTTCACGTTTCCGATGTTTTGCACCATAGTGACCCGTCTCTCATCATCCATTGACAATCCCAAAGACATTTTGAACTGGTGGCCTATGTTAGTCTCATGTTTTTCTCTTATTGCCGTAGCCGCATTTTTCATGCGAAGTATTGCTTATGCTTCGAAGTTGTGTACCAAAGATGCTCGTGTCTTTGTCCACGCCTTTTCATTTGGAAATCCGACTGTCATAGCGTTGGCAATATTAGACAGTTTGTGCGCCGACACAACCCTTTTTGGCACTGGCAATGAAGCTCAACAAGCTAAGAAACGAGGTTCTGCATACATCTCCACTCACCTCTTTATGTTCTCCTTACTCTTTTGGATCCTGGGATACATCTACATCAATTTGAATAAAGAAAAAGAAGAAGTCTTGCCTCTCGTAACAGAACAACAATTAACACCACAACCAACTCCAAATCCTCCACAAGAATCGGATAAACCATCTGAAATTATCACAGACAATCACAAGTCAGACGACGAAGTTTTGGACGAAGATCAGAATAACACGGGCAAGAAATGGTATACCCCAGTTCTCAACTTCTTTGTGATGATTTGGAACTGGATTGTGAAGGTATATACCCTAGTGACTGGTTTCATATTGAAGATGTGGTACAAACTCCCCCCAATGGCACGAGATATCATCGACAAGTTATTCAATCCCGCATTTCTTGCCGTCTTTTTTGGTATGTTCTTCTTGTTTGTGAAGCCATTGTATAACTTTTTCTTCACCGGACCTTTGCGGATTGTTGGTAATACAATGAAACTGTTGGACAACGCAACAGTTCCACTTTGCTTAATAATAGTCGGAGCTAATATGGCGCGGGGGCCTGTCAAAAACGCTGTGTCGCCGCTCACGGTTATCGCGGGTCTCTCTATTAAGTACGCACTATTGCCAGCGGCGTTTATTAGCGTCATTTACTTGATGTACTTGTACAATGTCTTTATCGACGACCCCGTGTTCATCTTAATTCTGTGCATCGAGACGGCAACACCGCCCGTCTTCAATACAATTGTGTTGTGCACACTGGCGTACCCAAAGGGAAATTCTTTTGTCGCCAATTTGATTTTCTGGGGAAACTTGGTTGATATAGTGACACTGACTGTTGTTGTAACAGTGTCTCTTCTATTGATACAAGATGATTTAAATATCTGATAATTAACATTTAATCTAATAGTATAATAATTCGGTTAATATCATTTAAATGAATTTGTTATAACTAAAATACTATTGATGTATAGTTAATAAATCTTATCATGTAATTTGCTTGTGATAGGATTAGAATTATAGATAATTGTTATTATAATGTATAATTAAAAACTAATTTGTCAAAGAATGAATAAAGAGGCAGAACGAGAAAATGTTTAAGAGAACAAAGTTGAGAAAAATGTGATGAAATTTTGGTTGACTATGATGGTGTGTTGGTACGCACTCGGCGCAGGGGAGTGCAAAAACCACCAAGATGGGTTTTATTGCGCAGACAGAGCGAAATATTATTGGTGTTATGGGGACGTCGACGGGTTTGAAATGATCTGTTCGTCTGGGACAATGTGCAAATGTGGGTTCACTTCGTATAACCCGTGCCTTATGTCATTTCAAGAATCTCCAGACTGTGATGGTATTCCCGGTGATATATTAAACCCACTGTTCCACCCCAAAAATAACCAAACAGCAGACAAATAATGGTCAATGACAATTAAAGTTGTCTTTGTTTTACTTTTTTTCCCGAAGAAAATTGTTTTTTTTGTAACAACAAATAAACTTTTTGCACTTAATAATTGTAGTGATTACAAAGATCTTTTAGAAAACATTTTATATTTGTTCACACTGAACTTTTTCAAATTCAATTATAATTCAATTTTATCAAAATGTATCTAAATATAAAACTATAACATTATTATAACAATTTTCATTTGGAGAATTGTAATTATTCTAATAATAAAACTAGAGTCAATTTTTTTTGCTTATCATATTTATTGTAAAATTTCCCCGCTTTTTAGAATAAAACCTCTTTAATGTTATTTTAATTTTTCTAATAAAAACCATAAGAAAAAGTCGCCTTTGTTGAAGAACGAAAAAAAGAAGGTGATCTTCCAAATAACCTTAAAACTTAGACGAGATTATTTTAAAGAATTAATTCACTTTCACTGAAAAAGAGGTGCCCAAAATACATTAAACTAAGTATAAAAAAAAGAGACCTTTAACAAACTTAATCTCTATAATGCTCAACTCTATTATTATCATTATGGTATTACATTTTTTTAATTTTTATATTATATTATATGATACATTTTTTATTTGAGTAAGAATAATAACGAACAAACGGCAAGTATTTCCGTTTATTACCAAAATAAACTAATTCTATAACTTCCAAATTAAGTTCGAAAAGTTTTGCGAATTATAGAAAAAATAATAATTATTTTTACATTTAATGTATAGTAAAATACAAGACACATTAATAGGACATATCCCCGAATTTGCACATTTAAAACACTTTATATTATTATTTTAATTGGAAATCTCTCTAAAAAATGATCTTTTCGAAGCAAAGATAAAAGGGGTGCTTGAAACGGAAAGCAACAGATATAAAAAGATTAAAAGGACTGTAAATTTCATAGATGAGCTGCTCAGAATGCGAGGTGGTTGAGGGGTCGTGCTGCGAATTGACTGCACAAGAGTACTGTTCAGAGGCGTTAGATTCCTTGAAGCAAGCATACACTCAAAGTGTGTTCCAGTACAGACAAACACCATCCTTAGAGCTCTACAAAACTATTCTGGCAATCAGAGGACTCATTTTATCTGCCTCAAATCTTTATAATCAGATGTGTTAAAGTTATAAAGACTTTGATACATTTCCACATTAAATAGTATTGTATTTTCTTTATGTTTGAAACTGTTCCGGCCTCATTTTATTAAGAGACATTTTTTTGAGTGTTGAAATGATAGTAATAATTAATTAAATTTATAACACATCCACACTTTCAATTTAATTATTCTATCCTATTTAATCGCTAAAACTTCATTACATTATAATTTCCCAAAGTTCCACAATAATCTCATTAAATTATTGTATTTAATTATTTAAATAATTAAATACATTATTAAAATTATGTATTTAAAAGATATCCATCCATTTATTATAAACAATAATTAATTTATGGTAAATTAATTAATCGTTTTGGGTAATTCATAATAGTATATTGTTCTTATTATTTATTAAATAAATAAATTTATATCATTATTGTTTTTTTTATTATAAAATAAAGTATATTAATTCTTTGGAATTTATTTTTATTTTTTTCATAGAATAAATAATATTATTAAAATATTTATAATAATACTAATAATATACAAACTAATGAACAGAAATAAATACCCCAATTCGAAACTCAGTTACTCCATGGCTGGCATCATAGCTTGCTGCTGGGCCATCTGGTTTTGTTGTTGTTGTTGTGCGCCCTGTGGGTTTTTGATTCCAGAAACGACGTCGTCCACTCTGAGTAATGTGCACGCGGCTTCAATAGCAGTTTTGATGCACTGCGCTTTGACTTCATAAGGTTCCCACACTCCAAGGTCTTTCATATCAACGATACTCCCAGTCATCCCATCAATACCAAATGTCGAACATCCTTTCTCGTCTGACAAATGTTTCGCTCTCAACTCAGTAACCACTTTGACAACATCAACACCACAGTTAGCAGCCAAAGTACGTGGGATAACTTCCATAGCAATAGCAATTGACGAATATGGCCATTGTTTCTTTCCCTCAACGTTCTTTGCCTTTTTCGTTAATTTTGTCGCCACATGCATTTCAGATGCTCCTCCGCCTGGTACAAGCTTTGGCTTCTCAACCAAATTTCTGCACGCGGCCATTGCGTCTTGTAAGTTCCTCTCAACTTCGTTCAAAACGTCTTTGCTTCCTCCTCTCAAGACAATAGTGCATGCAGTCGAGTTCTCGCATTGGTGGATGTAACTGTAATACTCATCTCCAATCTTTTTCACCTCAAACATCCCAGCAACACCAACATGCGATTCGTTCAGTTCCTCTGTTCTTGAAACAACGGTAGCTCCAGTCGCTCTTGCAAGTCTCAAGTTATCGTTCTTACGTGCCCTTCTCAACGCGGTGATACCCGCCTTTTGTAAGTAGTGTTGCGCAATATCGCTGATCCCCTTTTCAGTGATCACCAAGTCGGGCTTGACTCTGATGATTTCATCGCATTGCTTCTTGACAAATTGCTCCTCCAACTCTAACAACTTTCCAAAGTCAGTCGCGTTGGTAACTTCAACGTCGGTCTGACTCTCACCCTTAGTGTATTCCAAGTTGCAGTCCAACAAGACAACACGAGGGTGCTCGATTCTTCTGCTCATCTTTGAGTGGACAACATCTTTATTCAGCACAACTCCCTTGACAACTTCGGACTCAGAAAAGTCTCCACCTGGGATCTTTTCGACTCTTGCGTATCTCTTAGTATCAATGTTGTCTTGACCCTCCGCTTTTTTAAGGTCACCACCAGCACACACCGTCACCGCGTCGATGGCCAATGAACAAAGGATGTCATTCCACGTGTTCATGAAGGTGGTTCCAATTGAGCTCTTGACGACACGTCGTACAGCCTCTTTATCGGCCAAATCAATGGTGATGGAAATCTCTTGAAGACTCTTGAGGGCATCTTCTAGGGCATCCAAAAATCCGGAGATGATGATGGTTGGGTGGATTCCTTTTTGGATCCATGGCTCGGCAACTTGTAAGACCTCGCCACACAAAATAACAACCGAGGTGGTTCCGTCACCGACAGTCTCGTCCTGTGAACGCGAAAGCTCGATCATGTATTTGGCTGCGGGGTGTTCAACAACCAAATCACGAAGAACGGAGTTGCCGTCCGAGGTGATGGTGACACCGGCGGTCGGGTCAATCAACATCTTCAACATCGATTTCGGACCAAGGCATGTTCGAATAATGTCTGCCACGGTCTTTCCCGCCATGATGTTTGCAAGCTGTGCTTTGCGGCCGTTTTCTCGCTTTGTGTTGGTGTTCAGAACAAGAACGGGCGCGTTCATTATGGTTTTCGAGTTCACAACCTCCAATACTACAACTTTACTAGAACTAAACAATAAATTATAGTTTGTAGGCTTTAACTTTTTCTAGAAGTTTTTGATCTTTTTGTTTTTTTATAACAATTTGTACACAACCATGTTTTCAAAATGTTATTGCCGCTTGCAAAACAGACTCACTGCACACTGTACAATAACCAGGAAACGGCACAGACGCGACAGACGTCTTTTTGTGTGGCCTACTCAACCATAATGTTTCCGAGTGACATCGAGGAGCCCTCTTCTAATCCAAAATCGAGCGGCATTTCCACTATATGTCCACGGAACTTGACGAGCTCCTTTTCGTTGCCAATGAACTTGGGGTAGAGGTGTGTTTTCCAGTCCTTGAATTTTGTAAACGCGTTAGACGGATAGTTCTCGAAATTTTCCTCAAGTATTTTTGTGTTCTGTCGTGCCGTTGGTATGATCAGTGAATCAATTGTCTCCACTGGGTCTTCTATCATCCCGAACGAATACTCCAAAAGCCCGAGGTGTTCGCCCCACAAGCGTGTTCGCAAGTCAAACGCAAATTTATTTACTTTGGTGAATTTTCCATTCATCTTTGTTGTGATCTTGTTCGAGTCAACAACAATAGCCCCTATCTCCGTGTCTCTTTCACCAATTAGAGACCTGTCGTTGATGTTTGCCGAAGATATGAACACGTATCTGTCGTCCACAATCAAACACTTTGAATGTACGTATATCTGGGAAACAGTGAGTCCTGTTGTTTTGGTTCTTCCCATGCTGTAAAGGTTGAAAATTCCGACGTACTTTGAGGGTTGTTTAATTCCTGTGCTGGTGAGTCTTGCAAAGAGACTGAGTTTACCTTTGAAGATTGTCTTTTTTATGAGTTGCATTATGGACCTAACAACGATTGACTGCAGTTCCCCTTCACTCCACGCAGGGAGCACAATCATCACTCGAAACTTTTTCTGTAGTTTGAACGCATCAATCACCTTGTCTGCCAATGCTGAAACAACAAGATTCCAAATTGCGTCGTTACCATAATTTGAAATGAAGAACTGTTGCTCGATGTAAACGTAGTCCTCGGCTCTGTTAATCAATCGAATCACTGCTTCGTAGCACCCACGTTCCACATGATAGTTTCCTCCAGCATCTTTGCAGATCGATCTCACAATTTGTATTGACATTCCTCCAACTCCCCTTGGCACGTGTCCCAGCCTCAGGTGTTCTGGTATGGGTGTGATTCTGTTCCACCTCTCGACAAAGTTCCTATCCACATCGAAAACGGCTGGTCCCTCAATCATGCAATGCAAATCATGCCAAGGCAACCTTGGGTAATTTGCCTCTTCTCCTTCGGGTACTTTGACCATTGTGTTATAAAAGTCTGACGGCATGAACAAAGGGATTCCTTCGCTTTTCGCGTTTGGTGAGAGGGAATGGTCGTTGGTGTCCCATCGTCCGTGTGCAAGATCGAGACCTCCCAAAAACGCTATTTGATGATCAACAACAACAGTCTTTTGGTGGTGAGTGTATGCCACCATCCACCTGTGCTCTTTGCACTCAATGTTGGGGTGCGCTTGTTCCAAAAGGTAATGTTTTTTTCCACTTTCTGCAACGTCGTGGAAAAATGGTGAATTGTAAAGGAGCACTTTAATTGTTACACCATTGGAAGCTGCGTATTTCAACAAGTCGACAAGTGTTCTCCCGTTAAGTGGGTGATTTTTGTTTCTCACAAGCACAACATCCGGGTCGATTTGCCAGTCGGTAATGTATATTATCTCCTTAGCCTGCACAATCTTCTCTGCGATCGCACACATCGCCTCTTCGCCATCGACGAGTGCGGTCACTTTGTTTCCATTAGAAGGTACTGCAAAGACTGGTGCTTGCCGCACATAAATACCCTTCACATCCCTCTCTGTTTCCACAATTTGCTTTACAACTCGGTGGTCATGTTTCTTATGAAACACTCTCCACAAAATCTTCTTCATTCACTCCTTCTCTCATTTTTCAGACTCTTTGGTCCACTCTTTCCACTTCTTATCTCTTTCTGCAATCTTCGTATTTTTAGTTTAATATATTATTGTTTTATAATAGTTATTTACCATCATGTGAAATATGAGATAATAATTAATAAATAAACTAGTATATTAAATATGTTTAGTTGATGTTTCCAAATCTTTAATTGTCTAACAATTCGATTAATTAATTTAATTTATTTATTAATGAATAAAATATTAATAAAATAAATAATTTCACTTATAAATAAAACAATATTCATTAGTAAAAATAATTATATATATAGAAAATGTCTAAACAACAGATACACAGAAAAGAGCAATCAAGTAGAGAGACAAAGTCTACAAAGCAAGAGAAAGTCTCATTTTAGTGTTATTCGAGATTGTTCCGTTTCTTCCCGCAATAACAATTGAAGTCTCTACTTTTGGTGTTGAGTTTTGGTTTTCTCCGTTTTGCCACAACATGAAAATACGATTTTTTGGCTTTTGATTTTTGTTACTCTTCCCGATTAGCTCGAGGCAGAGGACTTCTTTTAATACCATCTTAGCACGGTCATGACTTTTATTGATGGCCTCTTGGTAAATCTCCTTGACTCTTGTGTTTTGGTTAAAATTTGTGTGGACGTGACAGAACTCTGCCTTAGCTCCAAACAACACAATGAGTCGACGTTTTTTCCTTTTGCATATCAAAACTGTGTCAGAGAATAAGAGGAGGACGCACTCAAATATCTTTTTGTTGAAGTAACACATCATTTCAAATTCAGACGAAAAGAGTCTTCCAGCCATCACCAATTCTTCTCCAATCACTTCAGCGAAATTTGTTAACGTTTCCGCATATTCCATCATGACGTCTTGTCTCACTTTGATTCGTTTCGATTGATTAATTAATTCGGCAAGGCCCTCCACTTTCGTTTTCAACTCCCTCAAGTTTTTGCTTCTATCCGCTGGCAACGTGTTTTTATACAATTCGTTAATGAGAAGTGAATACCTTGGAACTCGTTGGACGGGGTTAATTAACAGCCCAAAAATGCCTGTCGGTCCGTTGAGTTTTGGATCGACTTTGTTACAAATATTTTTGAATATTAAATTGTCTCTGTAATAATCGGAAATCATTTTATGTGACTTCTGGTGGTTGTTAATGAAGAAAGCGTATATCTTGAACACCTCCACAAATCGCAAGAAACAGAGAATCAATGCCTCAAAGCGTTGGTCATCTTCAGGATCACCAAGAGTAAAAACACCACTATATATGTTGTGGAGTTTGTTCAGGAATAAAGTGTTCAGTTTGTGTATTGATATCACATCGCCAAAGACCGTCTTGTAAAATGACCCCGAGAGGGATTCTACGTGTGAACATGGAGTGGCATATCTCTCTATTAAGATATCGAGCAGAGAGACGTACCGTTCTTCTGTCGTGATCAATTCGTCGATAATACAAAAACGATTCCTTTTCATCGACAACTCAAGTTTTAAAGACGGTTTCCGACTTGCCAAGCGGACAAGACGTGGGTTAGCTGACGACTTTTTGACATTCAGAGCTGTACCTGATCCAGTGTTTGAATGCATCCGAACAAGTAAACCACTCGATTTTCTGGAAGGAAGACGTTGTGTTAATCGACTTGTTCGCCGAGTCAATAATTCGTTGATAGGTGGGGTGGTTGCTTTTTCGAGGGGTGGTGTTTCTGCGTGTGGGGAGTCTTCCATGTTTTGGAGTTGTGAATCGAAAAATGTTCAATTGTGAGATACCCAATAGCTATTTTAGTCATATCACAATATAAAGAATATCTTCCTTCTCAACAAAGAGATTCTTTCTCAAAATTGATTAACTAAATTTTATTAAACTTTCTATCACAAAGAATTTATTTGACAACTCAAACTAAAATCTTTTTTAATTTCATTCATATTAATAACATTTTCAAAAATGTTATTTAATGGTTTGTTTAACACTTCAAATAAACTGTTACAAAATGTGACTAATGAATTAAATGTATTAAATATTATTTAAAGTATTGAATACAATTAATAATTTATATTAATAATTTATTATTTTAATAAGAGACAATCACTTGTTTTATATAATATAATATAATATATTATATTATATTATAAATTAAGATATATAATAAATAATAATATTATTTGTTAAAAAAGTAATTACAAATTAAACATAAGAGAAAAGAAATGTAATAAAATGTTGAAGTGTTGTGAAGTGATACATGTGAAACGAAGAACAAATAATAGTCAAATTAATTCCCCGTGAGTGGTGAGTATTCCCCAACCCCACGCTTCTTTTGGAAAAACACGATTGCAAAACAAATTCCCGTTGCCAACAATAAATACGCGCCAATCGATACAAAAGTTGCAATCGTGATTGTGCTGTCTTGTTCAATTGCAAAAACACTGTCCACAAGTGCAAGGAGAACTATCAACAGACTCATTTGCACTTTTTAGTTTCGTTCATTCTATTTTCCTTTCCTTTTGAATTTTCTATTTATTATCGCACTCAACAAACCTAATACTTTTATTAAATATATCGGTAATTAAAATTATTTGATTTGAGTTTTCTTCTTTATTTGCCAGCATGGATTCTCACGCAATCCACCGCTATCCTTTTTTTGTGAAACCATTGTACAGTCCTATAAACTATTATCAACTAATTAAAATATTAATACCAATAATATAAACCCATTTAAAGTAAAAATAAGAGCAAAAAGATACTTAAAAACAGAGTTGTATCTACCAGTATGTTGGCTGTTCTTTTGGGGGGATAAATTGGCAATTCGCAAAAGCGGTAGGTGACACCTTTGTGTATTTTGGAAGCACAACACGGCATAAATGGAAACAATTACAAAACGCATTATGAGCAAGATACTCACATGCCTCGGGTATCTCAATCGCTGTGAGAAAATCACAATTCCAGAAGGAACCATATCCTATTGAAGTGATTGTAGTCGGCAATGTCACTGATGTTAATGACCGGTTTCCTTCAAAAGCAAATGCACCAATTTCGTTACATATCTCAGGAACGGCGATCCGACACAACGCATTTGCACTTCCGTGAACGACGTCTTCCGCGTGGTCCATTTTCCATTTTTTGTCGTCGCAAAAGGCAAACACGACGTTCGTACATTTGACGTTGTGTATTAACTTTGCAACAAAGTAAGGGACTCGCACATCAAACGTCTCACAATTCTTCACTTCAATTGTTTCCAATTCTTTACATCCAGAGAAACAATCAAATTCAATCGATTCAATTTTGGAATCTAACACAACCTTCGTGAGATGGGGGTTTCCTTCAAAAGCTAAAGTCCCAATGGATGACACATTCGCTGGGATTTCAATCGAATGCAAATCACAACATGAGAACGCGTACTCACAAATCTCAACACATTTCGAAGGAAGTTCTATTCGAGTGATGTTCTCTCCTTCCAAGTCTCCGGGGTGTTCAATTTTCCACACGTCGACATCGTTCAATGTAAACGCCACTTTCGAGCACTTAACACCGTCCTTCTCAAGTAGTCTCGACACCCAAAATGGAACTTTACATTCACATGTATTCTGGAAAAACGCAATTTTCTTAATAGAACACATTCGTCCAAACGCGTCAGGTTCGATGGACGAGAGTTTAGTTGGAAGAGTAACAGCAGTTAATTGTTTACACTGTAAAAAGCATTTCTGTCCAATTGCATTACACACGTCGGGGATATTCAGTCGTCTGAGTGCATCGTTTTCAACGTCTTCTGGGTGACTTTGTTTGTAATACGTGACGTCGTTCTTTGAGAAGTAGATGTTTGAACAAAAGCACCCACTTTTGTTGATCAAGTTGGCCATCCAGAATGGAACGGCGATATCGCAAGAGGCACACCTCTCGATAAATATTCTTTCTAATTTGGTGCAGCAATCCAACCCACTGTCAAAAATCGATTTCACGATTGAAGGCAAAGTGATTGCAGTCAACTCATAACACTTCGCAAAACAATTGGTGTCCAACACATTACAACACTTTGGAACGTCAATAGAAACTAATACACTATAATCGTTTCTATTCGAGACAACACACTCCGGGTGGTCTTTTTTCCACTTTAAAATATTGTTATTAGTGAGTACTGTTTCTCTGAATGTGGTGTTTGGGTGCGCTTTCAAAATCGCATTCGCCATTTTGTACGTCACGCGATAACACACTTTGTATTGGAACATTCCATCGACGGGTTGGTCGTTGTATTTATATAAATATTGCGTTTCAACGTTTTTGAATAAGCGAAGTGAAGAGATTGGGTTGTAGTGATATCTATCGAGCACGTCTTTGAATTTTGAATTTGTCGAAATCAGGTTGAGGTAGTCCTCTTCAAAATTGAAGTACTTTCCAACGATCATTACAACGTGGACATCAAGTTTTGATGGCATTTTTGCAGCTGGAGTTCAGAATTCTTTTTATACATATTTCAACTTTTTTGATTGAGGTTTTATTGGCGTTATGTTCTTAGTTCTTCATTGTCTTCATTCCTTTGAATTGTTATTTATGGTTTGAATATTAATTAAAATATAGTTTTAATAAATGTAATAATATTTTAATATTTATAAAAATTAATATTTATAATTATATTTATTATTATATTTATAATAATATAATATTATTCATAATAGAAACTATGAAGTATTAAAACGGGAAAACAACGGATATAGATTACAGCAATACATTCTGAATGTCATTAAGTGTGATGATTGTACTTTCACACCCTTTACCAGTGACTTTAACTGTGATTTTGTCTGTAACTTCTAATTTGGTTTTCAGGTTGTAATAGTGAGCAACTTGACAACACAAAAGAGTTTCAAAATAGCTTTCAAAAACCAACTCAACTGTCCCAATTTCTTTGTGGATTGATTGAACAACTTTCTCCATACTTCTAACAAGAGGAATGTTATCAATAAGTAAAGTAAGTTGGTCGTTTGTTTTAATTGTTTGTATAGCTCTGATATACTTCTTATTGAGATATTTGCATTGTCCCAATAGCTGTTTGTTGATGGAGTATATTTTCATGTGTTGTTTGTGATCTTTTGGTTTTTCCAAGTGTTCCTCAAGTCTGATCATCTCAAGAGCTGGGTCAATATCGTTTTGAATACAATATCTAACAAATTCCCCAAGAGGATATTGCCAATGATATTCGTTTGCTAAAGCTATTCTTGCAATCTCTTTTGCGTTGACATAAGGGTCAATGTACCCTTTCTCGTCCATAAGTGATCCAAAGAGTTCTCTCTTTATTGTTGAAGACATTTGACTGTTTTTTGTTTTCGTTAAACTCCTTATATTGATGTTGTTTGAGGCTTGACCCATAAGTCAAGATTCAATCTTACCAAATAGAATAGTTTTATATAAAAATAGTATTTATTTATAGATCAAAAAAAACTATTTTCAAATTATACAACATGGTTTATATTATAGTACAAATAGTAAACGGGAAGAACCAATATGATATTCATTTTTTTACTTCAAATAACACCCCACAGTTTTCTAAGGGATTCAAGCGTTGATGGAAGTGCTTCTCCCCTCATCAGTGACTTTTTCATTTCGTCTGTGAATGAGTCTTTCATGCAATTAGATCACAAATTCACGTCAAAGACAAAAAAGAAATAAATAGATGCAAACGTTGAGTAGGTTCTGTAGTAGCCACTGAACGGGCCAGATTATTTGCTTTACTTTGGATTCCTCTTGGAGAATTCGAAGTTTTTGAGAATGTGAATGGTTGTCTTCCTTTGTCGAAGTTGTCGAGTGATTTATTCAAATTACTCTTTTTAGGAGAAAACATTGGTTCAATGTTTTTACTAAACTTGGGGACTGGTTTTCCTCCAAATTTGGGGACAATTTTGTCGGTCTTATCTTTCTCGAATTTTGCAGGCAACATCGCGTTTTCTTTTTGAATAGGAAGTGTGAGTTTGCACTTCGCCTTTTTAGCCTCTTCAGCTTCTCGTAGTCTTCTCTCCTTTTCTTCGTCTTCATCACGTTTAAGTAACTCGATAAGAAGATCAGCAAACTCTTGTAATGCTCCCCCAAGCCACCCAATACTTTCACAAAACGCGCCATCTAAGTTTTTATGGAACTCATCTTCCAAGTCTGGTGCGTCATACTTCCTTATTTTAACATCAGAGTTTGTCAACATGATACACCCGGCCTGATTGAAGTTGTCGTAATTCGTCGCACCAAACACAGTGAATGCCATTGGCGCATTCTCAACTCCAAATGTGTGGATTTTGATACCTTCCGGGAAACATTGATGCCCTCGAATCATCGCAACTAAGTCGTTCGTCTCCAAAAATTCTTTCACCCCCGCATACCCATACATGTAAGAACATCCACGCGAGGAGTTAAATAGAAACATGACGTCCTCGGGATCAAAATTGTCCAACTCGTCTTCGTCAGCCGGGTCACTCCACATCAAATCACACAAAATGCCTTCGTCGGGAATTTCAGTGAATCTGTCGAGTTCATCAAGTTGAGAAACGTCTGAGATGGACGGAGAAATACCTCCATGTGAACAAAAAAAGTCACCTGTTGTGCGAGAGACTATAGCGGCTATGGGTAGACAGTCAAACACATTCATAAACATGTTGTACACCTCCAAATCATATTTCCTTATACACTCCTCTTTGAACCCAAATTTACTCGTCATTCGTCGACTTTCATGCTACGCGTCACTATTCCATCGTTTTGCAGTTGTGAAACAAACATTCCCACGCAACAAAAAAACACGAGTAGGGTTAAACAGTTTCATGAAAAATAAGGTGGTTATGACTTCGCACGACATAAGTCCTCTGTCGACGTAATCTCCCAAAAATAATGTTGAGTAGTCATATTCTTTCCAAAACACATCGCCATACTCGTTATACAAATCAAAAAAGTTGCCATGAAAATCTCTGTTGTGAGTCCTTTGTAGAGTGGTTGAAAACTATATAATGCCCAAAACAATTAATAAGGGTTTCTTTTTTCATCATTCGGTTTGAATTGAAGAGAAAACAATTGTTAAATGTATAAAAAACAAACCACCAAATATTAAACAGTTGTCTTCAATATGGACAACATTGGGTTCTTTTTGTAATATAAAAGTCACCTTTGCACACAGTGTTTTAATGCAATCAAAACTAAGTCGCCCATCGTTCATGTAATGGTTATGTAACTTTTCAAGAAAAGTGTCTGTAACTTCAGAAGGAAATTGAACAGGGAGCATGAACTCTAATTTTTTGAGTTGTACCTTGATCGAAAGATCTTTTTTTCAAAAGCGATTTAGGTCTTTTTTAACTTAAAAAAATTTGTTTTTTTTCCAAAAATATATTTTAATATTTATTAATATCTTAATAATAAGTATATAATACAAAGACAACATAAATATTTTATAATTCATTGTTTTATTTATGTGTTGCAAATTCGTTCATTGAATAGAAGATATTTTTTTACCATTTCTTATTTTATTCACATTTGGTTATCAAACTTTTGATGTGATTTTTCAATTGAAAAATTAATTTCCTTTTTTAATTTTAAGTTAACATAACTTTGTTTTTTCAAGAATTTAAACACTAAACTTCACCCGAGAATTTTATTATCAAAAAATAGTATAGAAA